AAATTCATTTTTAATGCAATTGACATTAAGATGTTTGTACATGCATTTCTAATCTCTATATATCTGATTATTACTAGTGACAGTCGGTTAATTTCTGTCACTTATTTATTTTTATGGGGCTTTTGGATACTCTAACATTCCCCCCTCTGAAGATGTAACCCTAAAATCTTTTAAGGATTAGATACAAGCCCCCAAGTAGTTTTGCCATTTTTGGCCTTTGGAACAGAGTAGGTTGCTAACAGGCCCAAGGACATTTTGACTTTTAGCCAAGAAACTGGCTACATTTCTTTGGGGTCTTTTTATCCTAAAACTGCCTAGCCAATTCCTATCTCATATTCTTATCATGCCATCCTCTGAAGGGGTTACCCAAATTGCCAGTAGGGAATAGGGACACTGACCACTCTGGCTTCTTCCATGCTGAACAGGGACGCAGGGTGAGGCAATTGGAGTACCCCTTCAGTGGGTTTATCTAAAAGTCTATTCTTTTGTCTTAAGGCCTAAGTCTAATATGTGTTCCCTAAATGATCTTGGGTGTGGGTTCTTGGTGAACTAAATTTATATCATACCCTTAAAGAAGACTTGACTCACCCTGTCCTTACGGCTATCAATTGCCAGTAGTTCCTCAGCTAACTATGGTTTCTTTTTTTTTTTCTCAATGTATTTTATTGAATTTTTGTGCATTTCATACAATACATCTTAATCATATTTAGACCCCATCCGGACCCTCAATAGCCCCTCCCACATGATTTCATGCATTCTCATGTAACTTAAGGCCTATCAAGTCAAGCTTTTGTACCCAGATGTCCCTCTCTGCAAGTTCATCCACTGGAGTCTGGTAAACCTGTCTGGAGTTACCCCCTTAAAGAAGATAAACTCCCTCACCGACCAGTAATCAATTGCCAGTAGTACCTTGGCTAAGGTGGGCCGCTACTTATTTCCCCTGTTCTATGCTGGGTTTTGGTCTGGTTGAGTCTACATGGGTCTTGTGCACACTGTCATCAATGCTGTAAATTCATAGGAGCAAGTACCTAGAGGCCTGGAAGGCTCTGTTTCCTTATGTTCATGCACCAATCCTGGCTCTTAAAATCTTTCCACCCACTCATCTGCAATTGTCCCTGAGCCATGGGTGGGTGAGGTTTAATATAGGAGTCCTATCCAGGGACACACACTCTGGAGTCCCTTATTCCCTACACCTTGGCCCATGTGGCCTTCTGTTTTCATCACTGTCTGTTGCATGAGGAAGCTTCACTGCTGAGAGTTGAGTGATGCATTAGTATTCTCTCTACCTCCTGTTCAACTATGTTCCATGAGCCTTAGGTGTAGAGGTCCCATTGTAGCTGTTTCACATAGGACTGAGCACCTCTCAGACACATATTTTCTGTCTTTGACTAGTTCTGGAACTCTATAATAGTCTTCCATCTGTTGCAAAAAAGAAACTGCTTTGATAAGTGGTGAATGGTACTTGTCTAGAAATACAGGGATCCATATTTAACATACAGTAAGAAATTACATTTGTCTAGTAATATGACAAAGATACAGTTTTCTGTAGTGTCTGTGACTGTACCAGCCAATTGTATTTGGCTATGTTTACAGTGCCACACATGAGTTCCCTCCCATTGAAAGGGGTTTAAGTCCAATTAGATACCTGTTGATTACCCCAGGATAAAAATAACACTACTGCACTGCTATACTTTGTTATGCCAGTCATTGCTGTGGTTACTACAAAGCTTTAAAGCTCCCCAGGGGTGGCACCACCCACAGTGGGCTGGGCCTTCCCACATCACTCAACAGTCAAGAAAATGTCCCACAGATATGTCCATAGGCCATTCCAATGGAGGCAATTCTCCAATTGAGGCTTTCTCTATGCAGGTATGACAAGTTGACAACTAGAGCTAGCCAGTACATTCTGGATATTACTCCTCTGTTGGATGTGTGACTGATAAAATTTTTCTCCCACTCAGTGAGTTTTCACTTCCTTGGTTGTTTCTTTTGCTATACAGAAGCTTTTTAGTTTAATGAGGTCCCACTTCTTGGTTTTTTACCTTAATTCCTGAGCAACTGACGTCCAATTTAGAGTCCTTTCCTACACCTATCTCTTGTAGGGTACTAATGTTGTGGGGTGCCTCACCAGAGAAGACCACTCAGACAAAGTTTTGCCAAATGAAAGTCATTACTGGCCAGGGCTACTACACAAGGGTGTTGGGAGCCCAAGTGTGTAGCATCGAGCCATCTCTAGGGTAAGCTTTTATACAGAAAAAACATAACCAGGGATGAAAAGCTTAAGCTTCCAAGCTTACAGGTGGAGAGTCCCCTTAACAATGTCTATTCTGTTAAGTAACAATTACTGTTTTGCAGAAGCAAGCCAAGCATAACCTCCAGAAGCCATAAATCTGCAGTTAGCAGGTACACTCTGGGACAATCTGACCTGTTCCCAAGACAACCGGGGTCCAGCTGACATGTGTTCCCATACCCTGGGCCAACTGTCTGATAATTTCAGAGACCACAGTCAGCCTAAACATTAACATGGAGTAGCTATGCTCAAGAAGGTGCCCTATTACACTACCAGTGTTTTCTTCTAACAGTTTCATAGTTTCAGGTTTCATATTGAGGTTTTTTATCTGTTTGGAGTTGACTTTTGTGTGGGGTAAAAGATAAGGGTCTAATTTCTTAATTTCTTTTCTTCTCCCTTTTTTTTTTGTCTTTTTGAGACAGGTCTCCCTGTAGCATTGGCTGGCCTGGAGTTCACCAGGCTGGCATTGAACTCATGGAGATTCGCCTGCTCTGCCTCCCAAGTACTGGGTTTAAAGGCAAGTTTGACCACGCCTGGATTGATAAGTGTCTAATTTCATTCTTCTACAGGTAGAGATCCAGTTTTGCCAGCACCATTTGTTGAAGATGCTGTCTTTTCCTGCATTGTGTGTTCTTAGAACCTTTGTTTAATTATCAGGTGGCTGAAATTGTGTGCTTGGATCTTCTATTTTCCATTGATCTACATGTCTGCTTTTATGCCAGTACAATGCTGTTTTGATGACTATAGGTCTGTAATATAGTTTCAGATCTGGTATGGTGATCCCCCCAGCATTGCCCTTTTTGCTCCAAGATTGTTTTTTATTGTTTTGTTTTTGGGTGGGGTGTGTGTGTGTGTGTGTGTGATTCCATATGAATTTTAGGATTTTTTTCTAGTTCTGTGAAGAATGGAATTTTGATTGGTATTCCGTTGAATCTGTAGATTGCTTTGGTAGAACGGTCATTTTTACAATGTTAATTCTACTCATCCATGAGCACAGGATGTGCTTCCATCTCCTAGTGTCTTCCTCTATCTCTTTCTTCAAAGATTTAAAAACTTCATTGTAGAGATCTTTAATGTCCTTTGATTATACCTAGATATTTCTTTTAGGCTATAGTGAATGGGAGGGTTTCAGTGAACACTTTCTCCAAATGCTTGTTATTGGTATATAGAAAGGCTGCTGATTTTATACATTGATTTTGTGACCTGCCACTTTGCTGAAAGTATTGATCATTTCTAGCAGTTTTCTGGTGAAATTTTTGGGATCTTTTATATATATCATATGCAAATAGGGATAATTTGACCTCTTCTAATTAGTACTCTTTTAATTTCCTTCTCTTGTCTTTTTGCTCTAGTGAGAGTTTCAAGCACTATATTGAAAAGGAGTGGAGACAGTAGGCAGCCTTGTCTGGGTCCTGATTTTAAATGGGAACGCTTCCAGTTTTTCTCCATTTAGAATGATGTTCACTGTGAGTTTGTTGTATAGCTTTAATTTTGTGGTATAGTCCCTGTAGTCCAGTTCTCTCCAGGACTTTTAACATGAATGAAAGTTGGATTTTGTCAAAGGCCTTTTCTGCATCTATTGAGATGACCATTTGATTTTTATCTTTAAGTCTATTCATGTAATTTATTACATTAAGCCAGGCATGGTGGTGCACACCTTTAATCCCAGCACTCCAGAGGCTAAAGACAGGTGGATCTCTGAGTTCTAGGCCAGCCTGGTCTCCATAGGGAGTCCAGGCCAGCTGTGACTACAGGGAGACTGATAGGTAAAAATGTTGGCGAGAGCGGGTGGAGGAAGGCATGAGCGGATGGGATGGATGGAGGAGGCACTGAGGCACAGATGGAATTCTCAGTGGGATACAGCTTTATTTCGCACGGGGCACCTTTCCCTCGGGGAAGGGAAAGATGTCAGGGAAGGGAAAGATGTCAGGGAAGGGTAGAGAAGGGAAAGATGTCAGGGAAGGGTAGGGAAGGGAAAGATGT